CTCTCTCTCTCTCTCTCTCTCTCTCTCTCTCTCTCTCTCTCTCTTTCACACACACACACACACCTTTCTCATCTTCCTTTATATCTTTCTCCTGTCTCTCCTCCAACCCCATCCCATCCCTAGGGCCCTTAGTCAATGAGACAGAAAACGAGAAGGTATCAGGGGCTAGCTAAGCGTGGAAACCAGCTGGGGCTGCTAGTGTAACTTCCCCTTCCTTAAATCTTCGATAGACTGTCAGTCTCTTCACCTCATTCCCACTCCCTTGTCCATAATGGTCCCTTCTGTAAATCATTTCATCCTATTTCCAGAGCATAAAGCATGGGCTTCTTATTTTTACACTTCATTGCCGTATTCCAGCTACCCTCCCTATCTCAGGATACTAGTTTTCACCCTACCAGCTACCACCTGCTCGCTGGAACGTGGAGCTCTAGGAACTTGGGATGCCTCAGGCCTTGAACTACTGAGTAGCCCTATGATATTGGGAACCTTGAGATAAGCAGAATTAAAGCTTCCCAAAGTTTGGATATATAGTAGGATATGGGTTTAAATCCTGGTTCTACTATTATGACCTGTATGATCATGGTCACTTAACTTCTCTGGGCCCCAGCTTTCTCATCAGTAAAATTGTATTTAAGATTCCTCTAATGGCCCTTCCAACTCTAAACCTAAGGATCCTGTGATAACAAGTACTTCACCCCAAGACTTTATAGACTTCTGTTTTCATCAGACTGTACCCTTCCTGCTGCAGGGAAGGTTCCAACCTGGGAACTTCTCAAGTCTCAGGACATGGACATGAGATTCACATTGCTCATGTTAAGTGTCTTATAGATCGAACAAATAGGCAGGATCCCATTAGGGTGCTGGATGTTTCTGAGGTGGATTATTAGGATTATTAGATCTAAATGGGCAAGAACAGGAAACGTGTTGAGACAATGCAAGCTCCTGGAGGGCAAGAGCTGCTTCATTCATCTCTCGAATCTTTAGCTTCCAGTGGGTCTGGCATGTAGTAGGTACTTGATAAATGCTAGTTGAATGACTGGAAGAGGTAGTGAACTCCAGTGTCCAGTTCCACTGACTCTCTCCCTCCTCCTTTCACACACACACACACACACACACACACACACACACACACACACACACAGAAGACAGTGCCTAGTACTGTTTGACATTCCTTTATTGGCCCAAAGCTGCTGTGGTGTCACCCCTCTCACCCGGGGCAGAGTGAGGGCACAGCACCAATAGAGGAGCAGACAGACAGCAACACAGAACAGACAAACAGGCGGTGTAGGCTCACAGAGACCACAGCACTGCCACACAGACGACACAACACAGCACCAATACACGGACAAGCCACAGGCTGTGACACAGAGTGCAGACTGAGGGACTCATGGATGCCCAGAGAGCAGCATTGACAGAGGGCTACACACGGACAGGGAAAGATGCAGGCAGACAGAACCGAGGACCACAATCACACAAACAGCATAGCCAGCCAGCCAGCCTATCACAACAGATGAATGAGGTACACGAACGTGAGGCTATGTGGAGCTCCCCAGAGGAACAGGGAAGGGAAGATCATGTTACTCCCCAGCATCCTTCTCCCCTCCTCGTAATGGTCGTACTTCAACCCTAGACCTCCACCTCTGAATTTGGTCATAGCCGGTAGGGCAGCCCCCTACTTTGGTCATGCCCACAGGGGCTACAAGGCTTGGGGGTAGGAGGGTGGGGCTCAGAGTTGAGGTTGTTGGGGGAGGGAGGGTTGTTGACCCATCCTTGGTCCATTCTGCCTAGGGCAGAGAAATCAAGTTTTCAGACTTGGGTAAGTGGCTACCTTTCTTCCCTGAAAAGGGGCCTAGCAAACCAAAAATCTAGTACTGAATCTGAGCCTGGCAGCCTGGTGAGGAGATGGTGGTTGGGGGAGTAAAGGAGGTCCCTGGGCAGCAGGAAGAAAGATGGGTGGGGGAGCCTGAAATGCTCAGGCCTGTGGGGGTTCCTGGCAGTTTGGGCATTGAACCATGTCAGGCTGGTACTGCTCCACCTGGAGAGTTATGGTACAAAATCCAAAGCGGGTGTGGAGCAGAGAGGCAGCTTCTGCTCGGACGGCCTCAGGGTCTGCAGTGGCATCTGTGGAAGAATGATAAGAAGGCAGCATCAGAGTCCCAGGGGAGATTAGTATAGGGGCAAAAGAGAATGAGATGAAGACTAATGGGGCTTGACATTATGGGGAGGGGCCCTTGTGCATTTCATTAAAGCCAGTTTGAATTGAGATTTCTAATTCATTTGAATACTTGTGAAAGAGTAAAACCCTTTCCAGAAAACCTGCTTTTTTCCCCCCAACTATTATTTCCCTGCTTCAACCGTGTGTGTGTGTGTCTGTGTGTCTGTGCGTGTGTGTGTCTGTGTGTGTGTGTGTCTGTGTGTGTGTGTGTTTGGAGGGGGGTGATGGTATAGGGAACACAGAGAAAGAGACATTTTTGTTCCTACCCACCACCCCGACTCTGGTTCTGCATTCTAGAATGGGATTTAGAAAAAAGAAGATAAGGGGCATCTAGGTGGTGCAGTGGATAGAGCACCGGCTCTGAAGTCAGGAGGACCTGAGTTCAAATACGGCCTCAGACCAAACACTTGACACTTGACACTTCCTAGCTGTGTGACCTTGGGCAGGTCACTTAACCCCCATTGCCTTAAAAAAAAAAGATATCCTGAAGATGAGGGTATCTCCTGCACACACATAACCTGAGGCAGCCCTGACACTTACCAATGGCCAGGTGGGCAGAAATAGCATGGTAGGTGAGGGTCAGGGCCCATAGGTGCAGCTCATGAATTGCCCTGACTCCCGGCACTGACAGTAGCAGGTCCCGAACTGGTTCATAGTAGATGCCATAGGGGGTACCTATAATGTGATACAATGATTCTGTAGTTAAGAGGGGCTGGGTTCAAATCCTACTCTGCTACTTGTATGACCTTGGGTAAATGATAGAGCATCAGTTTCCTCAGCTCCAAAATGACTCAGGTTAGACTAATTGACCTCTGAGGGCCTTCAGAGACCTGTGTTCTGATTCCCACCTAGCTTGCCTTAGTTCATTTTCCCTTCCTTTACCTTTAGACAATGCTGTAAGCCCCAAACAATTTCAATAGTCATCCTCCCAGGGGAAACTGTCCAAGTGACTTTGCTACGTAGTTGTTCCATTTTTTATTTTCTCCTTCTATGGGAGGAAAGGGTTTGAGATAAGAGTCTGGGATGGGGCCAGTCAGTTTCAGGGGAGGAAGACAGAAGCACCCTGATATTATGGCACTGCTGGGAGATCTGGGAATTGGTGAGTTCATTTTGGAAAGCAAATGTGGAGTCAGACAGTAAGAGCTACAAAAAGGGGGTCCATAGCCTTTGACCCAGTGACCCCATTGCTAGAACAATACTTTTAGGATATTATTGTTCAGAGAGGGGGAAAAATATCTATCTGCATACAGATGACATTCTAAGCAGTACCACTCATGATAGCAACAAACTAGAAACCACACGGTATTCAACAACTGGAAAAAGTATCAACAGATGTGGTATATGGATGTAATGAAATACACTTCCTTATTGCATTGTAAGGAGGAAATATAAGAAGGTTTCCCTTGGACATAGAAGACAAAATGGACCATTTTGTTACTATTGAAACATTTATAGTTTTATGGAAAGTAAGTCGGGAAGCAGCTAGATGGTACAGTGGATGGAGCACTGGCCCTGGAGTCAGGAGGACCTGAGTTCAAATCTGGCCTCAGACACTTACTAGCTGTGTGACCTTGGGCAAGTCACCTAACCCTGATTGCTTAACAAAAAAAAGTCAAAAAGGAAGTGGGTTGTGTTTATGTATTTAATAGTGGTTGCTGATAATAAAGGGTTTTTGGGGGCGGGGCAGGGATGGTGTTGCTTGTTTTAGAAACAGCCTGCTCAGGGTAAGTTGAATAGGGCTTGTAGTTTACCTTCCATGAGGATTCGAAGAACATCCCGGAGAGTGGGAGCAGTGGAACCCAGGGCACAGATGGAGAACAGGAAGGTGCTGATGGGGTCAGCTGCTTTACACTGGGGCTAGAGAGAAAGATGCCAGTAAGCAGGGTGTGAGTGGTAAGAGAACTGGAACCTTTGAAGTAGGGTGCCCTGTGGATGTGACTAGCTGGACCAGACTCAAGAGGCCACATAGACTGGTGACCCTGAAGGAAGAGCAGGAAATGTGGCTGAGAGCAAAGTCGAAGATTTGGGTTCTTAGGGAGTTGTGGCAGGCTGTAGAGCCTGGGGCTAGGGTGGGGGCTATGAAAAAGGGGCCAAGAGTTCCCCTTGGCCATACCTTGAAATAAATGAGGATGGATGCAGCCAGAACCCCGAGGCTTTGAAGTAAGTCCCCCAGAACATGCACAAAGGCTGCCCGAACGCTGGTGTTGTAGAAATTCAGAGGGCCCCTTTGCCCCTCCTCCAGTGGAGCGTACTCAGTTCCCTTGGACCCATGGCTATGTCCGGGAGAGGCCTGGTGCAGCACAAAAGCCATTCTGGGGAGGGGGAAAGCCACAAGATACTGAACCTGGGGCAACCAGTCACCTGCTCCACCTCATGTCCTGTTCTCTCATCTATTCTCATATTCTCCAGAGGCCCCTTCCCTGCATCTTTGCTCCCTAGCCTTACTGTATCTAGTCTCAGACCCCAAAGGGGAGATGGGAGAAGGGAAGGATAGAAGAGGAAGGTCAAGGAAACCCTCAACTCTCCAGAGTGAGGAGCTCTGCTATTTCTAGCCTCCTCTCCAAGTAAACTGTCTCCTCCCTGGGGCCACTGGGAAGTATGTGAGTGTTCATTTAATCATTCTCCCTATCTATGAATGAGTGAGTCACACCTGTCTCCCATCTCTGAGCTCTGCCTTGCCAGGCTCCCTTTTAGATACAAAGCATTCCAGGTGACTCTAGGGCAGTACATACGTACAAAAGATTGGCACAGACGGCGATGCCTGCGGTGATTAACATGGCATCTCCCTCAATGTGGTAGTCACTGTTCAGGAGACGTACAAAGGCCAGATAGAGCAAGACAGCAGTGACAATCCAGAGGGACAGCACAGAGGCTAAAGCCCCTAAGGTTTCTGTGAGGGGGGAGCAAGATATTAGGGGGATCATGCAGAGACCAGGTCCTCTGTGAGAAGGGAAAAGATGAAGACGGAATCAGGGGGCAACATGAAGGCCAAAGGGGAAGGACAACAAGGCCTGGTGGGTCACTCCAGGGCTCCCAGGGGTTCTGTAGGGGACACATAGGATTACACAGAAGCCCTTACCTGAGCGGTGCCAGCCAAAGGTCATGGTTCGGGTGGCTGGGCGAGTGGAGAGCCAGAGGGAAAAGAGACTGCCTGCCATGCTGCCCACATCAGCCAGTAAGTGGACGGCATCGGTCATGATGGCAAGGCTGTGGGCTAAATATCCACCTGTAATACCCCAAGACTAGGGCTAGTTCCTTGATACCATCCTGCCCCCAAGTCTGAATTTCGTTCCCTGGTTTCCTTCAAGAAGCAGCCCAAGTGCCACTTTCAGCAGGAAACTTTTCCTGGACCCTCCCCCCACTAGCTGACAGTGACTTTTTCCTGCTTTCTATGTGACTTGAATATACCTATATATGTACACATGTGTACATGTATTTACACATGTTATCTCCTGTTAGGGTATAAGCTTCCCAGCACTTAGCACAGTGCTTAGTACATTGTAAATTCACAAATGCATGTCTGTTGACTGCTAATGCCCTCATTACTCTTCCCCTCCCCAGAGTCCCCAAGTGCTCACAGCACCCCCTTTTCATTCTCCAATCATGCATCCTTAACCTCTTCCTGCTATGTCCTTGGCCCTTTCTGGAGAGGCCAAGATTGGAAGGATACAGCTGCTGAGAATTTCCCAGGGAAGAGGATTAGGGCTATGGAAGGACCCTTGGGTAGGGGATGGAGTGGGGGTTGCCTGACATACCCACAATCTCCCCTGCCATGAAGAGGAAACAGACAGCACAGGCAGCTGATAGTTGCTTCTGGGCCTGCAGCTGTTCAGGGCTAAGGCCAGACCGAGGGACACAGTCTATGTGGCAGTGACCAGGTTGCTCCAGAGGATCTTGTTCTTCCAGGGGGGACTTTGAAGGCTCTGTGAAGAGACTGATGCCAGGGAAGTTCTAAGCCAAGCAGCCCACATCAGGCAACCCCCTAGACTTGGGGACTGAGGATACCACTCAGCTTTGCCTGTCACTGGGAGTCCAGCCCACAATGGACAATTCCCTCAAGCAATATGGATGAGTTCATCAGTATCTATCACTGGGAGCCCAGCCCCAGACAACTTAGCACCCCCCTCCAACACACACCAGGAGATTCATATGCTGTTCTCTCCCACGCCTCAGCTTTTAGCACCAATTGTGGTCCCAAGCTCAGTCTATCACTCCGGCCCCAGTGTCTCATAGCCTTTCCATTCTCACTCCCACCAGGATCTAAGAATCAGTCCTTAAACTTCCCAGTCCCTTTTGGTAGGACATTTCTTTGCTTTTGACAAATGATTAAAGGATGGCCCATTTAAGAAAGGAATGGAATCCTTTCTTAAAGTGAAGCCCAAAGAACCAGTGACAGTTGGGGAAGAAAATGGAGGAAAGGGTTCCACAGAAGGGTGGGAGGAGAGAAGGTCAGGGATGAAGAGGACAAATTTCATATCCAGATGTTTGAGGTTTAGATGAATTTTTCAGTCCAATTCTTGTTCTAAAGAGAGTGCTGCATGGACTGAGCTCCAAAAGGGTCTCTCATAGATTCAGAGACCTACTGGGTAATTGCACCAAATGATGATAGTTAGGTACAGACTGCATTCAAGTGCATTCTGTGTAGAAGCACACACTGAGATGTAAGGCCATTCAACACACACACACACACACACACACACACACACACACACACACACACTGATATCAAGAATCTATCTTCCTAGGGCCTCTCTTTTGTTCTATCAAATATGAGGAGTGGGTTTATGTTCATTTTTCAGAAGCAAGATCGAGATGGTTCAATTCGGGCTCTGGGGAGGGAAGGACACTTTTCCAGGCCTCTCTTAACCCCCAACCCCCTTCCCTAAAAAGAGGAACTTGAAGGGGAGGGGGATGTAAGAGGAACGATTTGGGCACGGAAGAGAGAAGAAGGCAGAGTCAAAAGAATCCCGCCCAGAACTTCAGGGACCGGGGGCCCTAAATCTATCTATATATTCTCTCTTTTGTAAATCTTTTCCTCTCCCCTCATATAGGGTCGTCCTATTCCATCGTCCTAGGCCTTCCTACACATAATTCCTAAATTCTATAAGGAGAAAAGAGGGAGGAATATAGGAAAGACAAAGAAAAAGGGACAAATGAGGAGGGAGATACAGAAAGATTGAGAGGCTTAGCCAGAAAGATAGAGACTAAGGAGCAAATCCAGAGAAAGACAGACGGCCCAAGGACCGCGAACAACAGACAGACACTAAGTAGAGAGACAAGGCACGCACGCACAGTCTGGCCAGGGTGCAGAGAGAGGGAAAGCAAGATTGAGGGGGTGGGTGGGAAGGGTGTAGCAGGATGGGCTGGGATGGGGTATTAAATAGGAAAGCCAACCGAGGCTGTGGGGGCGGTTCTCCCGCCCCCAACCCCTCTGTCCCTGGCGGCTTCGCGGCTCATTTCACACCTCGCCGCCCCCGGAACCACGTCTGTGCTGAGCCGGGAATACCCCCCACCGCCCAAACCGCACCTGCTCCTTTCCTCCCCCCTTCCTTGCTTTCCCCGACACTAGCTTTGATCCTTGTGTTCCCCCCCCCCCCCGAGAAGACCCACCTCGCCTGATCGACCTCAGAGCTCGCCTTCCTCACAGATTGTCAGGTGCAAAGGCCTGAATCCCTACTGCCCCTCTGGACGCAGCTGGAATGAAGCCCCCCGCCTTCGCCTCACAGCAGAGAAGAATCAGGACTGGGGATCCAGGGGAATGGGATCAGAAAGAAGAGGATGTTGGAATTGGAGCCTCGGGATCTAGGGCACCCAGAATAGTTCGGAAGGAGTGCCGCCTGCCAGAAATGTGCCCCTCTCTTCCGCCAGTGGACAAATTTGCGGGCAACTGGGATCCCAGTCCTGTTGGCCTAATGCGGTCTGCTTCTCCCCAGTCACTGAGTGCTCAGGAGGTCAGCCCTGGGAGGGGAGCCATGGGGGAAGGTATGGGGTGAGGGGCTAATGATTGGGGGGGAATGAGGAAATGAGGGGGGATAATGCGGACAGAGGTTAGGGCAGCCTGCAAGAGCAGAGGCTGTCCCTGCGGCAGCTGCAAACCCGGTGGCCGAGAAAAAGAGGAGAGCAATAGGAAAATGAGGGATGGTGAGGGGGCACTGAGATACAGGAGCTGAGGGGACAAAGGTGCAGGGGAGCAGAGGAAGCCCAAGGAACTCGAAGGGACAAACAAGGAAACAGAGGAAGTCCTCCTAGGGGTAAACTGAGGGAGGGTGACAGGCCATGGGACAGGCGAGCAGATGAATCGAAAGGTTGAGGCACAGAAGGTGGGACTATAGACAGCAGAGAGACTGGGGGGAGCGGGATAGGAAAAGAGAAAAGGAGACAACGAAAGTGGGGGAAGCAAGATAGACAGAGAGAAGCTGGATGGAGCGTCAGGGGACCAGGGGTCTAATAGGGAGGAATTGGGCTCTAACCTCTTGAGACGAAGGCTGCCGGCGCTGCTGTGAGCCCTGGGGTTCACCAAGCGAGTTGTCTCTGAGTCTACCGCGGCTGCTGGATGAGGCTCCATCCTGGGTCCACACGGACCGTCAGTCCGGGTCCCTTGGAGAGAGGAAGAGGCCGGCCCTTCACCGAGCCAGCAGTCCCCAGGCGACTGCTCAGTTGGGTTCAGGATACTGAACCCCCAGAGGGTCTCCTCAGCAGCGGGGACAGTAGAGACTGTGAGAACTGCGGCGGCGACAGTGGCGACGGGCAACCGGACTGCAGCGCCCCCAGCCACCAGAGCCCCGCCCCACCCTGCAATCTTGGGGACTCTGCCTCTCCCTACTAGGGCCCCGCCCCCAGCTTCAGGTCCCACCTCTCCCCCCCCCCACTACGAGGCCCCGCCCCTAGCTCGCTACCTGGAGACCATGGCCTTGGAACAAGAGCAGTCTCAACAGTACTGGGTACTAAGTGAGTCCCCCAGCCTCCAGGAATGTGAGCTTGGGAACCCCCAACCTTCTGAAGTCTTTAACCCCTATCAAGCAGGCGGCGGCCATCGGTTCTTCTGGGAGGCAAGGACTGATATCACACATCCATTCAAGAGCCCTTCTTAAACCTCTGACTGAAGGCCGTTACAGGGAGGGGATTAATCAACCAGAGGTTTGCACAGTACTAGGCGCACTAGAATCTCTAAGAAGCAGTCAGGGTAGGGCGATGGAAACCTTTCTGGACGAGTCCTGATTTCCATACTTCGCGCCCGGTGGGTAAGTTACTGAGTCTCAGTTTCTTCATTTTGGAAAATGAGAATAATGCTCTTATACTTACTCCATAGGGGTTGAAAGCACTTTGTAAGCATTATAGAAACATGAGCCTTTGTTATTATGACTGTGGGTAGGGAAGATTGTGGTGGGTGGGAAGGAGAGGGGAGAGGATAAAGAGAGAACCTCAGATTTAAGTCCAACAGGCAGACCTTGAGTCAGGTGGAGGGAGTAGGCAAGTGAAGCCTGAGGGCCCAGTAGAATGGAGGGGTTGCCGGGAGCCAAGACTTTAGATTCGTCTATGCAAGTATCCTAAAGAAGGCTCCGAGGGGCTGGTCGTGTAGGGAGCTAGAGAGAGAAGTGAGTACTAGGGAGCAGAAGAGTATACAGAGAGCAGGCTATGGGCTGGGCTAAGAAAGAGGAAACAATAAAGCAGTCATTGACTGCTTTGACTGGGTCTGGAGCACTATGAGAAGATACATTAAATATTAATGGGTATTTTGGGGGTTGTGGATCTCTGATTTCAGTCTAGGAAACTCCAGACGACTAAACTCTTTCTGTCTGTGCAAATAGGCACCTTCTTTGCAACTTAAGGTCTCTGAGTTGGCTAGAGTACTAAGACATTCAGTGATTTGCCCAAGGGTCACACAGCTAGCAGTGGTCGGAGGCAGAACTCTTTCTAGGTATTCCTGATTACAAGCCTGGTTCTCTAGTCACTATGACAAAGCTGCCCTCTCTTTTATTATTTATGACAAATAGTGATCGCCATTATCATAGGTAGCTGGGTATATAGCCAGGGTTTAATAGATGTTTCTTGACTGATTGCATGATCATGGGCAAGTCTACTAGCCTTTTAGTGCCCCCGGTCACATTTTTAGACTCTTAAAAATTTTTTTTATTGATCTGTTGTTTTTACATCACCTACAGTGACAGCCAATAAACATTTATTAAGTGCCTTCTACGTGCCAGGCACTGTGCTAAGCGCTGGGGATACAAATATGAAAAAGAAAGACCTAAGTTTACAGTCTAAGGGGGAAGACGACATACAAAAGAAAGCAAAGGGGAGGTGGTGGCATACCTGCTCTACAATTATTTTAAATTTTTTTTATTCTAAACTTAACACATAGCAAACAAAATGAGCACACACACACACACAGTAAAACAGAAAAGATAAACTACGTGTGAATCTTTTATGTACAGCATGCTTTTCTTTTAAAATATATAATACACATAACTTTCAATCCTGATTGTCTTTGATTCTTTTTGACCTCTTCTGTGTATTTTTTAAAAAGTGCTTCAATGGCCTTCTTTTCTCTTCTTTCCCTTTTTAGAGACTTCCTCTCCCCACTAAGAAAAGAGAAAAAAAGTTTTTTTTATGATGTTGTTATTATCTAACTTGTTCTCCTAGTTCTGATCACTTCACTCTCAGTTTGAACAAGTCTTCCCCAGTTTCTCTGAAACCATCCCTTTTTTCATTTTTTTTTTAAAATGGGGCAATACTATTCCATTACATTCATATGACCTAATTTGTTCTGCCATTCCCCAAATGATGGACACTCTTCAGTTTCTGGTTCCTTGCTATTCAATTAAGAGTTACTATAAGTATTTTTGTACTTTTCTTTTATCTCTTTGGGGTATGGGTCTAATGATAGTATTGATGTATCAAAATGTAAATGCAATTTAGTGATTTTGGGGGCATAGCTCAAAACTGCTTTCCCGAATGACTAGATTGCAATTTCCAGCTCCACAGCAAAATCAATATGCCTGTTTTTCCTAGCCCCTCCAGCAATTGTCCTTTTCCGTTTTTGTCATTTTTGCCAATCCCATCACCTACATTTCCCAATTTGCCCTCTCCTCTCTGTGTCTTCTTAAGTTACAGACAGGTTGCTGGTCTGCAATTGAGACAGTTTCAATACTGGGAGTCTCTCTCTCTCTCTCTCTTTCTCTCTCTCTCTCTTACACAAACACACACACACACACACACACACACCTTGCAGCAAATGAAATAGTACAACTAGATTCCTAAAATAATAATACTTTACTTTTTGCATAAACTTTCCTGTTTACAAAGCACTTTCATATCCTATCTCCCAAATGATTCTCACAATCATTTTGTGACGCTAGAGAGAAAGGAAACCTGAGGATCTGAAAGATTAAGTGACTAGGTCAGTTGGATCATACAACTAGTTTGACACCAAATTAACATCAAGGGGTTTAAAGTCTAGCTGAGGACTGGAACGAAATCCACATGCACACACAAAGCCTTTAGAAAAAAGCAATCAATTGAATGAGGACCATAGTGCACATCACTCTGTAAGGGCTAAAAGGGGATGCCAGATAATAGAATGATGGGAATTATGAAAGGAAAGTGTAGAGGACAAGCTGAAGAGCTTGAGGACTGGGATAGAGCTACAAAGGGGTGTGGTGGGTGACAAGACATATAGAACCTTAGAAGATGGCATGTGTCCAGGCTTGGAAGTTGGGAATGGGCAGATCATTTTAAGGTGGATGATAAATTGGAAGCTGGGAATAAGTAACAAGAAGTGAAGGTTTCGTTTCCCCAACTCCTCCCTCATCCAGTCTTCCCCTTCCCACAATCTTCCATATCCTCCTCTCTTCACCTTTGCTCATATGGCTCCATCCTTGTCTTCCCCTACTCCTTTCCATCTTTCAAGGTTGAGCCAAATCTCTCCTTCACGAGGCCAGAGGCAGCTTGGTGCTTTGGAAGAAGCCGGGTTCTGGAATTAGGGGAGCTGGCTGCCACCTGACCTTAGGGAAGTTACTTTGCTTCAGTCCTCCCATCTATAAAAGAGGGAATGACAATATTTAGGTAAGTACTACTATTGTCCCAAATTGACCAAATAAGATCAATCAATCAACATTCACTTAATCAGCACTTCACAACAATTAACTCTTCAGCCTTTGGGGATAAAAAGAAAAAAAAATGGAAGTCTCCGGGCTCAAAGAATTTACATTCTATGGGGCCGAGGAGATAATATGTGCTTATATATGTGTGTGTGTGTACGTATATATAAAATAAAAAGTAATTTGAGGGCGAAAGCATTAGAAGCGGGGGGGGGGGTGGTCAAGAAAGTTTTTGAGAGGATGTATGTGGTACCCTATAAAATGTTATTTGAATGTCAACTTTTGTCAATATTATTTCCTGACCACCCTAGAGCACTATGGTCTTTTCCTACCCCGTTCTTCCTAGGGATCTTTACCACATTTCAAGTCTTTTTCCTCTCCTTTGAAACATCTGTGATTTTGAAGGTTTAGGGGGTGCCCTTCTTTGAGGCAGATACCAATCCTTCCATAACTTAGTAGGTAAATTTTAGAGAGTTGTTTGAGTCTCAGAGAGGTTATATGACTTGTTCAGGATCACACCACTAGTGTCAGAGGAAGGAATGAAACCAGCTCTTCCTAACACTGTTTTTGTTTCACCCCTTCCATACTGCCTTATCATTCACTGGTCTAGGTGTTAGTCATTTGCTTGTTGATGAATTTCCTTCGAGCTTGAGAGAGCAGGGGACTAGTACTACACCCAAAGTAACAAAAGATATATATATATATATACATATATATATACATACACACACACACACACACACACACACACACACACACACACACACATATATATATATATTGCTCGAAGCAATTGGGATTAAGTGACTTGCCCAGAGTCACACAGCTAGTGAGTGTTAGGTGTCTGAGGCCAGATTTGAACTTAGGTCCTTCTTGACTCCAGGGAAGGTGATTTATCCTTTGCACCACCTAGCTGCCTTCAGTACCAAAAATATAATGGGCTAAAGGTTCCATCCTTTGTTCCAAGGGAAAAAATGAAAGGAAAGGACAGATCAAGTGATGATAATGATGATGATAAATGTTTTCTATTTGGTGCCAACAGCCCAACTCCTGGGATCCTATAATTGTGTCCAAAGTTAAAATTCTGAGATGGTGTGTTCAATCTACTCAGGCTATGTATAGGAATGTGTAAGTTTGTTGATTCTTTAATACCTTTGTATTGTTTATTTAAGTTGTTTACATTTTTTAGTACCTAGCTATTGAAACTAGTTGGCAAGTTGTACAGAATTTGAGGTTAATAAACACGTGATATGCTTTGATCCTCATGAACTGGAAAGGCAGTATTATTACCATTTTACAGATAAGAAAGCTGAGATTCAGAGAGGTGAGACCCAGGAAGCAACTTCCTTGAGGTCTCACAGTTTAGGGACAGAGTTAGGATAAGATCTTAGGTATGTAGATCCAGTGACTGCCCCTTGTCATCTTAAACATCAACACCCAGGGTTTGACTTGCTAGAGTAGCAAGTTCAGATACTGATTGAAAATGGAACAGAGATTTAGACCTGGAAAAGACTAATATCATCCACTTAA